ATCCCCTTACCGGTCATGAAAAAGACAAAAAAAAAAATAAAATAAAATAAAGTAAAAGTTAAACTTGTGAAGTCCAAGTACATAAAGGCCTCTTGCTCTTTTTCTGCCCTTTTCTTGGGTACTTAAGGGAGAGGAAGGACAACCTGGTATTGGAAAGCCATTAGGGGGGCGACCTACTCACCACCTCCCGTGCCCCGTGTGGGTTCCTTTGTCCCAGTGTACCTCAGCATGGACCACTCTTCCCTTTTCTCTCTGTCCCCACCCTCCCCACCTCCTCCTCCCCCACCTCCTGTGTCACTTTCTCCAGGGAGCCCCCCTTGATGCCCTCCAGGGCATTACGATCTGACCTTTGTTTTCCTAGAGTGAACAGAGGCTGACCCACTGCCGTCTTAGGTAACCGAACCCATAGCCACGACTAACACTCACGGTTTGCTTTTTATGGCTGTGCTATGCACTTTATGTAGGTTATTTAATTTCGTGTCCATAGCTACCTTAATGATAAGTACTACTACTCTCCTCATTTTGCAGATGAGGAAACTGAGGCTCAAGAGAGAAGCTCTGTATGCTGTTTGACTAAAGCCAGGAACAAAGAAAAGAAAGAAAAGGCCACCGCTGTGTTATCAGAGAATGCTCCCTACTCGCACCTCCTGCCACTGCTTCTTCTACTCGGGACTGCTCCTGACACTCCAGGGACTCTTCTTGAGGCCCCGGTTTCTCTATTCAAGTCTGTGCATGCAGCAGCCACCTCTGTCCCAGCATCACACCAAACTTGCCTTCTCTGTAAAGGGTCACATCTTTTCTGAGCACACTTTTCAGATCTATTGCAAGAGAACAGAGGAATGTCCTGGCTACTGGTTTGCTTCCAGGAGTTTGAAAAAGCTTCTTGCCATTGAGGTCATGGGTCTGCTGCTGTTTCTAAAGATACCTCTGCTACTGGTCTCTCCTTGTCGCTGCATTCAGTGTGTGAGCAGCTGTGGGGCCTCCTGCAGTGCCCTCAACCCCTGTTGGTGGAGCCAATCTTCGGAGCCTTCTGAAGTACAGGGACGGTCCTGCTGGAAGAAGCAAAGCCAAGCAGGCATCTTCTTTTGGGCACCACATTTTGACAACCCCTGTTGGTGGAGCCAATCTTCGGAGCCTTCTGAAGTACAGGGACGGTCCTGCTGGAGGAAGCAAAGCCAAGCAGGCATCTTCTTTTGGGCACCACATTTTGATCCTTTAAAACTTAAACGCTTCAAAATTTCTTTGTCATTTTCAAAAGTTTCTTAGCGTGCAAAGAGCCTAAATGGCAAAGGGTATAATTATGAATTTAGATAGTTTTTTTTAACACCTTTTTTTTTGGTAGTTTCAAAATGTATGGGCAGTTTTAGATGTGAAACTCCATCTCCCAAAGGGGGACATAGGGTCTGATTCTTCAGTGTCCAGGAGAGCAGCCAGGATGCCTGGTCCCACAGTTTCCTTGTGGGTCAGAAGGAGTCAGATTTGCTAAGGCACATGTTAGGGGCTGCACTGTATCCCCCCCAAATTCACATGTTGAAATCCTAACCTCTGATTCCTCAGAATGTGACAGTATTTAGAGGTAGCATTGTTAAAGAGGGGTAATTAAGGCAAAATGAGGTCATTAGGGTGGGTCTTAATCCAATATGACTGGTGTCCCTATAAGAAGAGAAGATTAGGACACAGACACACACACAGAGGGATGACCATATGAGGACACAGGCCTAGGAGAGAGACCTCAGAAGGAACCAAACCTGCTGACACTTTGATCTCAGACTTCTGATCTCCAGGACTGTGAGACAATAAATTTATATTGTTTAAGCCACCCAGTCTGTGATACTTTGCTATGGCAGCCCTAGAAAAATAATACAGATTTCACACTGTGGGTGATGCCACAGGTAGTTTAATCTATGGATTTCTGTTATCTTAAACCTTCAGTCGAGCCAGAAGTGTCTTAATGAATATTTTTCTGAACACGGCAAACTGATGCTTCTAGAAAAGCACGCTTCATACATGCAGCCTTGTATTCTGCAACTCCCTTTAAAAGACTCCTCCGGTGGAGTAAACTCGAACCTCCGAGAAGCCAAGCAGCGAGTCAGTGTCGCTGAGATTTTTACCTGTGGTTCTAGGAACTCAGAGGCAGATGAGCATGCAGGCTTTGCACAGACCACTAAGCCACTTCTAAGAGCAAGGCTACCTGAGGCATTTTGCAAAAGTACGTATGTGCCGAGGCTTTTCCTCTCCACACCTACCGCAGCTCTCTTTGCCAACATAGTGCATCTTTCGAGGGGAACCAAGTTTGGGTTCAGCAAGAATTTTATGTTGCATACCACATGTGATAATTCCAGGGAATTTCAATTGCATCTTATCGGCTTGCCTAAACAGACTAAGTGAGAGCCTGGTGTGGTATGACAGAAACAGCCATGTTCTCTGTGACAGACACATTTGTTTCCCGTGCTGGTTTCTTAGACTCTGGCTCACCTCCCACAGCGGTGCGTTGGGGGTGGGGGTGGGGGCAATGGTTTCTTGGTTCTTCACCTCTCTTGTCCCCCAATTTCCCCCTGGGTATCTGGCTAAAAAATGAGTTATGGGTTTCCTTCTGTGAGAATTGCATGGACTGATAAAGTACCATCCCAGGAAGGAAGCAAGATGCCGTCTTCCCCTGGAGCTCGTAACTGCATTTGGGGAGGGAACACATGCTATAAATTACAGGCCGCAAGCAATGACCACACAGAGCTCTGCGAGTGGCCAGGCTCTGGGAACGGGGTGGGAACTCTGGCAAGAGCAATCTGATGGATGGAGATTGTTCTAGCATCGGGCTCTAAGGCAATATCCAAATGGTACCAAAATAAATGATATTTTGTCACCTTTCTGGCTTGGGTGACTGATGTGAACAGCTAATCTGGACAATTTAAACCCTTATATTGATGGATTACTTGGATGAAACTCACCAGGAAATTGCCAAGATTTTACTTGGCCCTCTGAAATTAAATTTCAATATTATCTCACAGAGTTAGAGATTCTGAAAGAACCCCAGTTCCTTTTCCTGACAGGAAGGAGTGAAAAGACCTGTTTGGATAAGCCCTCTGAGTCTCGTTGCAAGCTAGGGCCCTCTCCAGATTGCCCCCTTGAAAGCTAAGGGACCTTTGTTCCTAAATTGGGGCAGGTCAGCTGGCCGTCCACTGGGCACAGGAGCATGGACCTCTGTTAGGGGCTGGGCTGCTTCTATTACCTGGTGTCTGCACAGGTCACCATGTCCTCTCATTATCTGTGCTGTTGGGACGGTAAGAACAGCTCCAAAGGTCAACACTACACTCTGAAATCCAACCTATTGCCCAGTGGAATGTTTAAAAATTTCCTGAATCTGTCTTCCTGAGTTGATAAAATAGGAAACAATAAACGTTTGGAGGGGGCATTGAAAGTGGAGTAAAGGCAGGAAGATATTTTTTTCTGTTAGTCTACAGATATTGCTTCCTTTACTTGCTAGCAGCCCAGAGGAAATGCAGCGAGGATGCAATTCACAGCTTCTCACCAGTGGCCGGTATCTCTGCAGCACCCACCAAATGACGCTAAGAAGCAATGTGACTCATGCACATCCGCATGATTCAACTTTGCTAAGATTTCCTCGGCTGCCAGTAAAGACGCACTCAAAAACTCTTTAATATGAAGTTTGGAATTGGTTAATGACTTGCTGTCTTTCCCTCCTCCCTAAATCCCACCCTGTCATCCCCCAAACATACACCCACACATCTTTGTACAGTTTTTAAATTTCAGGGACTTGGACACATAGAAGCTTTGTGGCATTCCTAATAGCATTTGTTGTGACAAAGTGGCTGGCAAGCCCTCCGCATTCCCCTGCTCACTTGGCTGTATGAATAAATAATGAGTCACAGATACTATTTGGGTGCGCACGAGCATTTGTAGCCAGAAAATTAATTATTCCCCCATCCCATCCCACTCCATCCCAGCTCTGCCAAACCATCAAGCCACACTTTGCAGGCATCGGTCAAAGTGCGTGCCCCACCCGACACACTGTAATGCCTTCCTGACATTTTTATGTTATTATTTCTGTTTGTTTAAGCACAGCCCTCTTTTACCACTAAAGATACGCAAGATACACATGCACACACTCATACACTCACGGCTCAGCCACAGCTTTGCACATTTCAAGAGGCTGGTTGCAAAAATGCAGACGGGTTTTCCACACTAGCTGTTCCTTTTCTTAAGCGTGCAATCTAATAATGACTGAAGCTACAAGAACGCTTGACTTAGTAAACTTCATTGCTCTTTTAGAAAGAAGCCTCTGGACGCGACAACTTGGCTTGCTTTCCCTCTTGAAAGATGCCAGTTACCTCTTTGCATTGAGGCTACAAGGAAAAATAACCAGCACGGTGGTCCCATCCTGATGATTTTGACTTAAGCAAGTTTGTCCAGTGCCTGTATTCTCTGCCTTTTGGAGACAGCCGAGTTGCCACTTTGGCCCTGAAGTCCTCAGGCGGGTGGAAGGCACATCTGTGAGCCTCCGCCTCCTGCCCCACGCTGGCAGCAGCCTCCTGGCCAGCTCCAGGCATGTGCCTGCTAAGCCTGGGGCCGGCTGCAGCCTGGGCCACACAGCGTGCTGAGTTATGGGTAGCTCAGACACAGTCATTCCAGGCAAGGGACAGCAAAGTAAAACTCAGGGAGCTTTGTGCGAGCTTTATAATCTCTAGGACTTTAAACAAGACCAGCACAACTTACTTGCACTTGACAAAGTTCTCACGCACCGACTGAACACTTCAACAGCTTAACTAAGCATTTATTAAAACATTTCTGAAGAGCTGCCATCTGATGAATAAGTAATCCAATAGCCTTGTAACCATATGCCTCAGTTTGAATTCCTCCCCGAAAACAGCCAGGGAACCGGCAGGCGCTGAGGCATCTCTCTGCCCCGAGGTAACACGGGCTGCCATTTCATTATATGCAGAGCTGAGCAAAAAGTAGATATTAAAAGACCAGCGTGTACTCACCTCTCATGAAGCACTGTGGGTACGAAGGAAATGACTCAAATATGCTGTCTGAAGCCATCGCTTCCTCCTGAAAATGCACCCTCTTCTGAAGGCGGGGATTCAATGATTTCTTTTACCCTAGGAGCGAAAACCAAGAAAGGTCACTGTTTCAACCTCACCCCCGACCATGGCTCTCTACCTCTCCCTTTTTTTCACCCCTCGATGCCTCTGGGACTCCCTGAGCCCTATGAAAAATGTACCTTTGAGAAAACAAATATTCAAATTGTTAAAGATTAGGAAAAAAAAAAAAAAGCGCCGCCTTGGCTGTGGGTTGGTGATGCTCAGCGCTCTGCGAAACCCTGTGGTTTGCATGCAGTGTGATTCGTCCTGCCTGCTGACCACTGTGCCGGGCTCAGACTTCTGACACTGCCAGCCTACCCAACTTGTGGTTCTGTGGTTGTTTATGAGGCCCAAAGAAGTTTTCACACAACCCAAATTACAAATTTAACTGTTCCCCTTTCCACAGCCCATCTTAATTGGTTCTTGGCAGTCATGTGACTTACAGTGATGTCAATTTTTTTTTTTTTTTTTACTTTCTGAGCAATGCCCTTCCTTCCCTCCACCTGCCCTCCCCCAGTCTGAGCAAGAAAATAGTCAAGTAGACTTTGCAAGAGAGGGAATGTAGAGAAAAGTGACTCAGTCTCCTATTATATCACAATGGTCTCTGCTGACTTAGTACAACTCGGCTCCTGTTGTTGTTATTTGTGGTTTTTGGAACTACTGGTTATTTTGATAAAGATTTCATTGCTGCTTATTCCATAGTAATTCAACGCTGGCATCAAGCTGCTGCTCAGACAGGATGTGGATCCCATCGTCGAAAATGCTCAGCATCAGCTCTGGGGGAGTTCAGTCCTTGGTAAAGACTGTAACAGCGTAAGTGAAACTATAAAAGGGAAAAACAAATAAAAGGAAATGTTTGGGTGAAAGTCTGACCCCTACAAGGGACTAGCAATTTACCAACATTTTAGAGCCTGGAAGAAGGAAAGCATTTTAATTTTGAGATTAAAAACACCATTTTAACAAAACCAAAATTATGTGGTTTTATTGCCCCTAAATGGACATCTATAGTATGTTATCTCTTTCAGTAAAGAGACACAGTTATAGCACTCTGAACACACATGCACATTCAAATTAGGAAGCTAAAGGAAAATAAAGGAGAGTTTCTGTACTTTGGGACAAAGTGGTGGCTGCTCTGCCCCTGTTTATCAAATTAGGAAGCTAAAGGAAAATAAAGGAGAGTTTCTGTACTTTGGGACAAAGTGGTGGCCACTCTGCCTCTGTTTCTTTTGGTTTTCACCTGTGAAGTTTTGCCGCGTTGTCTTTCTCTAGTTCAGTTCAAATAGGCTAATTCACACCTGTAGGAAAAACTACACTTTGAGCACGTGAAGTCTTGGCCATAGATGGAGGAACCAGAAGGAGACGTGTCTCCAGGGCAAGCCCCTTCTCACGTGGCTGATGATGGGTGTCATACAGCTCATCTTCCACCCTCAGTGACATGCCCTTGTGGAGGTGCTACATGTACCATACTTTTGTATGTGTGCAAACCATCTGGTCACACATTTTTTTTTCTTCCTCCCATTGGTTTTACCTGCTAAGTAAAACACTATTCTTTCTGTAGTTCCAAGATTAAGAGAGACTTTCCTTTCCCAATGAATTACTTTATTCTGCTGTGCTCTGCATACATTCTCCCTGGCACATGTGAAGTTCCAATGCACATACTTCAGAGAAACTGTGTGACATGCGTTGTAAATGCCAACCTGGGATTGGAAGCTGCAGTAACCAGTGAAGGCAAAGTCTGAGCTCTCAGAATAGTTCTTCAGTTTTTCCCCATTCACTAAATTTTGCTCACACAAAAGACCTGCAATGATATTACCTTCAACGGCACAGGTCTTTCAAAAGGAATAGACATGATTTTTACTTGCTCCTGTTTTGACTAAAGCAGGAATTGAAACTCTAGAGACTGCTTTCTCTTAGACTTGTGAGAAGTTAGCTTGCCAAATGTTGATACTTTGCTAACATTTGGATTAATAATGATGTCTTATTTTTATGAAGTGTATTAATATCTAAAAGCATGAAAGTTACATATTGCTTCTCAATGTAAATCCCTTGTTAACTTAATTAACATTACATTCCCGTGCTGTGGCACCCCCTAATAAAGCCAAGGCTGAGTTAACCCCAAATCAGGTGGAGTTTTTTTGGTTTTTTTTCTCTTCTACACTTAATATTCCCTAAAAGGTTTCTGAGAGCTGACTGGTGAAACAAGAAGCTGCCACTTCAGAGTCGACTAGGACTTAATAATGACTTAGAAATTCAAGTGGTGAAGCAGATTAATCCTTTGGATATTTCACTTTAGAAACTCCCTAATGCTTCCAGCCTTAGGTGTCCAGATGCTTGAGGGGAGGGTTTGGATGTGTTAGCTCAGTGCCTGGATTCTCAGATTTTCTCTGTGGGCCTGGGGTCTTCTGTAGGACACATCAGAATTTAAAGACGGCTGTAAGGCTGGGGCTTGCTGATGCCTCATCAGACACTGTCACTGTTGGGGCTGGGGCTTCAACGGGGCACTAGGGGGCAGAGTACAAAGGCCTATGCACTGGCCCTGTACTGCCTTCTCGGGGTTAACTGCCACACCAGCCACAGCATAGTTTCACAGCTTGGCGAGGCAACAGTTGGGGCTTTTCTGGGTATCCTCCAGGTCATGACAATAAGTAAGACTCAGCCAGCTGCCGGTGAACTTGGCTTTACCACTTCCTTAGGAATCCAAGTCAAAAGGACGTCTGTCATCAATGAAGCGCCTGGAGAAATACTTGATCCTATCTTAACTAGAACTGTTTAGAATCTTTAGGTCTGTGCATTGACCCACACCCTCTGTCCTCATTCCTGCAGGTGACTCAAGCCCTGGGCTGCTGGCTTGGGAATTCAGCTTTGGCAAGTAATTGGATGGCCATTTTCATCCTTGCTCAGATTGGCTAGAGCTTCTAAGTGCCAGTAGCAGGGGAGGGTTGTGTGTGTGGAATATGCTCAGGTGTCTTTTTTAATGGCCCTATAAAAAAAACCAGCAAAGGTTGAAAGATGCATAGTTGCATAACGCTTTAATTAATGCAGGGGAGGGTTGTGTGTGTGGAATATGCTCAGGTGTCTTTTTTAATGGCCCTATAAAAAAACCCAGCAAAGGTTGAAAGATGCATAGTTGCATAACGCTTTAATTAATATATAGACTTCTGTGTGCAATCCAATCAAAACACTCTCTGTTGGGCATTTTCACTATGTGATTAAGGCATACTATCTCTGAACTCCACATGTCTATTATAAAGCAGATTCTCTGGCCAGAAATTGGAAGTAAAGTTGGACCACCCAAACTGGATATTGTCTAAAATCCTAGGAGGACAATGCTGCTGAATTATCTTTGTATAGCACGAATTTCCATTATTTCCTAAATCATTTTTTTTTTTTTTTTTACCAACAGAGGTGCTAACCAGAAACTTTCATGATATACTGACAGTGAGCTCAGTGATGACTTTTGAGTTGGGACATGGACATCAAAGCTTCATGGAATGAATATAACCTGTTCTTGGCAAATCCAATGGTTTGAAGTAACTGGAGAGTCCCAGAGGCCCCGCTGTCAAAGATCTTTCTTTGGATGGTCTTGACTGTACCCACATCTCTCTTCTGCAAAAGTCTCTCATTCCTCTGGGTAAAAGTGCAATTCAAATTTAAGTCACCACAAGAATTTATTTTATAGCCAAGCAAGAGTTTCAGTATTTATTCCTTAACCTTCTCTAGATGAAGATGTAGTTTGCCCTGTGGGAAAATAGGATCTAGAAAGGAAAAAAGAAAGAAAGGCAGTCATTGAAAACAACCCATCGAATGAATGCTATCTGACAATATGAAGACCTGTTTAATGATAATTGTTACAAATGAAGAGTTTAGAATGCTTCACTACTCGCCATGTAGACTGTGAGCCCACAACATTGACATCACCTGGGAACTTGTCAGGAATCAGAATCTTGGGCTCCATCCCAGGCCTACTAAATTTTAATCTGTAGCTGTACAAGATCCCCAGGTGATTCCTCTACATGTTAAAATTTCAGAAGAACTGCTCTGAGGGAAGCCTTGCATATGTTGAAATTTAGTAAAGAAAGAATATGGTAATTGTTTACATCCTTTGAGATCTCTTTTTTGCTTAGAGTTTTCTGAAACTTTTCTACCTTGTTGCCTTGGCATGATTCTGTAAGTCCTGGATGTTTCTAGACAGCAGAAACCCACAAGAGGCACGGCTCATGTCCTCCAAGGTAGCACTTTCTTGGACAGCTACTTGGACTTCTCATCTCCCGTGCAGTGTTTGGGTCAAGTTTACAGTTTGAGGTTTGACACTCAATGTGGGAAGGCTCCCGGGTGCTCCATCTGTTTAGCTGGTGGCCACGTGGATCTAAACAGAAGGCTTTTTTCCTCCAGGGCATCATCAGACTCTCAGTTTTCACCTAGTTTGCAGTTTGGAAACACATTAATCTTGTGAGTTCTTCCAGACGCACACCACGTGTGCACGCTCCAGGCAGCGTTGCAGGTGACCTTGTGGCCTTGACATTCTCAGCAGGGGCTGTCCTCCTCCCCAACAGTTACCTGTCCCCAATCTCCAGCCACTGCCTTGCAGATGTCATGCACTACACTTTGCTCTAAAAGAAAGGGCCCACCCTTAGATTGTACACACTGCAAACAGCCAAGCCATCCAGGGTCCTGAGGATCCATTTACACAGGAACCCAGGAGTTTGGCCACTTCTCTTAGATGCATCTGGATCCTTTCAGGCCTGCGTTGGGCCAAAAAACTTGTTTGGAATAGTTTCTCCTTACAGAGTTTTGGCCTTTCTGCTTCTGGTGCCATTTGAAACCAGGAGGGTAAAACTGGAAAACTTAAACAAACCCTCTTTGAATGTTAGAAATGTTCAGCATTCGAGGTTTGGTCAAATGATGGAAAACATTCTGAGTTGGTACTGAACTTTCCAGCTGGTTCCTCCAACCTTGAGGCTAATTATAGCATGAGATCCAGGCAGAGAAAAGAAAGGGAAATGAGGAAACTAAAGTGACTCGGAGTTAGAGAAGCCAGAATTC